TTTAAAAATGTTTTATTATCATTAAATGTTAATGAGTAAATCCCAATAGCAGAACAATAAATATTTAGAGATTTCCAATAATTTTGGCCATTGTAGCGGCTAATGTAGTGCGCTACATTTTACTGTAGCGGTAGCGGTAGCGCCCGTTACAATCTAGTGGGTGTAGCGGTAGCGGTAGCGCCCGCTACATTTAGAGCATGTAGCGGTAGCGGTAGCGCCCGCTACATTTAGAGCATGTAGCGGTAGCGGTAGCGCCCGCTACATTTAGAGCATGTAGCGGTAGCGGTAGCGGCGTTACATTTCCAAGTAGCGCTGCCCAGCTCTGCTTATCATTTACTTATCACTTTCCTATAATTTGTCTATCACTTACCTATCATTCATTAATCATTTTTTATATTCATTCATCATTCATTCATAATTTGTTTATCAAGTGTTTATTGTTTATTTGTAATTCATTTATCACTTATTTATCATTAATTTTTTCATTTGTCATTTTTTCATTTTAATTTATTTATTCATTAAACTGGAATATATTCTGTTCAATGCTGCCTTTTGGTTAATTTATAGTTTTAACCCATTCATATCAATCAGTCACACCCATTTTCCCCCACCCACCTGCAGGCTGCAGTCAAAGTCTCAACCAAAATGTTTTATTATAGTTAGAATAGATAGGTAGCCTACAACTAGAGCTTTCTAATTGTGCTTACATCTTTGAAATTGGCTCATTTGGAATCTAGAAATGATGGCTTTTCCAAAAAGAGTGCCAAAAATTGGTCCTTTATGATACATAATTTACGAAAGGAAAAAATTCAAATCTTTTTCACTTGTATTTGTATTTCACTCATATCTACATGTTTTTTTAAGTTTCTTTTCAGCTGTATAATTTCCCTTTAGGACAGAGGGAAAAAAAAATTTTTGTGCACATACCTACATTAGGCATTAAGGCATTAGATGAAGCATGGAAAATGTCTACCTTTAGGGCCTCAACTAGAGGTTTCTCACCATTTCTGAAACTGAAATTTTTGCCAGATGAATTACCTCCTATCTAATTGTTAACAAAAGTGGACAATCAGGCTGCAAGATTCTAATTTGCAATTGTATTAAAAATTCCCAAGATTTTAGAAACATGTAGGAAATTCCAATCCTGTTCTAGATTACGTGTACTGCATGAACCTTACGTGACTTACGTCAGGCAACAAAGAGAATATCCCAACATTGTTAATTGTGCGCGTCACTTGTGTCTCATGAATAAGCAAGAGGGATCTACAGAGGGAAATACTATTTACTCTCAACATGATGGTTTCAAATTAAATAGAAAAAAAAACATTTATTGCACCTATTCTTTATATCACCTTTCAAATTGAGGATAAACTCATCAGCAATTGGAGAAACTTCTCAAAGAAAAGTCAATGCACAGCATGACACTTGACTCAGTTGACTGACTAGAAGTCTAGAATAGGTAGTAGTTAGTACTTTAGATTAAGTGCATCCAAAAAAAAAGGGTGTTTTTTTCAATTATGTTTTTTGGGATGTAGATTAAGAATCTGAAATCTGTTTTTGGCAGTCGGCATCGGAAATTTTTAATGGAACCTGTTCCTAACTGGACCTAACCTCAGTAACCTGCGAGGTTTTTGTTGATTGGCTAGGTTTTCCGGCCGTGACTCCAAACATAGAAAAAACCTATTGGCTAGGTTTTTCTGGCCGCCTGACTGACTCCAAACATAGAAAAAACCTAGTTGATCAACGAAAACCTTGCAGGTTAGGTCCAGTTGCAGTTAGGAACAGGTTCCATTAAAAATTTCCGATGCCGACCGCCAAAAACAGATTCAAGATTCTTAATCTACACCCCAAAAAACATATAATTAAAAAAAACATCTTTTTTTGGATGCACTTAATCTAAAGTAATACCCTAGAAAATATCCTACCTCCTTGAAGTTGAAAATTAAGCATTCAAGGATACCAGCATTATCATAGCTACACAAGATGATAGGTACCCTAAGAAATTGGTGTAAATCTTGAAAAATTAGGATATTAAAAATGAACCAATTCTAAAAAATCTCTGGTTTGTCACTATGGAACACACTAGTGACTACCTAGGTAGATTGCATCATTGCAACAAATCCAACAATTGCCACATGCCAGGCAGGCAATAACCTAGTCGCAATACTGGCAGGCCAAGAATGACACACCAAGATTTTTAAAATCAGTCCATTTCTAATTTCCTCATTTACACAATTGACTCAAGATTTAAACCAATTTCTTATGTATGATAATGCTGGCAGGTGGCACTGGCAGCTGCCAGCTGGTATATATTATATGTTTACTGAATACTGGTCTACTCTACTTAAAGGACTCAGAAATAAACTTGAAAAGTTGAGGGAGAGTCTAAACTCTAAAACTCTGCTTTGCCACTAGCCACTAGGCAGTGCCAGGGGCCCAGGAGCAGCCAACCGGCCAAGCAGCCTAGGACCTACTAGGTTGGAGCACTAGGAGCAGGCAGTACCTGTACCTACTGACTCCTAGTCTCCTGGTACCACGTCCACCATCCAGGATTCTACTTCGAGGCTTGAGCAATAAAAGTACAATAATTGGGACCCATGAGTGATTTCTCAAGGGAGGTTTCCACCAGTCGGGGTGCCTTAGCAGGCTTAGCTTAGACTGTTACCCTGCAAGCTGATATTTATTAAAGCACAAGGCACAGTGGGACGAATTAGTAGGCTAATCCTGATCAAGTGTTCGACAGCTCTAAAAGACGGAGGCCAGGCTTCTTCTTCTTTCGATGTTTATTGGAGCTCTGGAAGCTCATCCATGTTGCCCCATGGCAGAGGGGTAGTAGGGTGAGGCAGAATGGCTGATGAGAATCCCAGTGTTTGCCAAGGTCCAGCCCCCCCCCAGCAAAGTACACAAGTACACAGATTTTAAATGAGTTTAAGAAACATAACCTATCATTGACAGAATAGTTTCAGTACAATTTGACCATCTTACAATTTTTTCATTTATTGCAGACACAAGTAGCATATATGCACCCTGAGTTGCAGCTACTGACATACAGTGGGGGGAAATAAATATTCGTACACTTGAAAAATCATATTTTAATGTAAGTACACAAACTTAACAGGAAAAGTGATGGCTCATCATTTGCCTATCACTCACCTATCATTTGCCTATCACTCACCTATAATTTATCTATTATTTGCCTATCACTCAGCCATCATTTACCAATCATTTGCCTATCACTCACCTATAATTTACCTATCATTTGCTTAACATTTTCCTATTACTAACCTATCATTTTCATATTATTTACCTATCATTTACCTATCACTTTCCTATAATTTGTCTATCACTTACCTATCATATGAATGCATTCAGGAACCCTCCTGTATAATTTATCATTTTTTATATTCATTCATCATTCATTCATATTTCATATTTCAAATAGTTATCATTCACTTGTAATTCATTTATCATTCATTTATTAGAGTAAAATTTATTCTGTTGAATCTGCTCTATTATGCCATTTGGTTAATTTATAGTTTTATACCATTCATATCTATCAGTCACACATGTTTTTCCCAACCACCTGCAGGCTACAGTCAAAGTCTCAACCAAAATGTTTTATTTAAGGTAGTTATCTAGAATAGATAGCCTACAACAAGAGCTTTCTAATTGTGCTTAAATCTTTGAAATTGGCTCATTGGGAATCTAGAAATGATGGTTTTTCCAAAAAGAGTGCCAAAAACTGGTCCATTTTTGAGATGTAATTTACTAAAGGAAATAATTAAAAGCTTTTTCACTTGCATTTGTATGATTTGTATTCCTCTTATATACCTAATACCTATATCTAGCTAGCGCTAGGTAGTAGGGTAAACGCGGTATATTCCGACATCGTAGGTAATTCCGTCACCTCTCCAGCTTTTCCTTTATATTAAGCTTTGTTTTAGTTCCATGCGTTTCCTTAAAATGGGGTAACTTAGACCGGCGGGGTAACTTAGACCACTTTTCGTTTTTTTAACAAAAACCCCCATAACTCAAAAACCATTTGACATGGAAAAAATTTTTCAATGGGCATTAAATGCCTAATACTGGGGCTACATAACACAATAGAAAGATTTAAAAAGTTTGCATATCTAATAGATTAAAAAATTAAAAATGTGACCCACAAAAAAAAACTATTATTTAAAGCCTGTCAGAGTACCCCCTCCAATTTTTTTATTTTTTGGTTAAATAATTCCAGGTTTTGATGCATTGTAGTAGAACTCTTCTAATGGTGAGTGAAGCTAGAGTATAGACCTGTATTTTGCATGTTTCAATTCAAGTTTAATTTAGCTAGTAAAAAAATGGCATCACTTATAAAAAAAAAGTGGTCTAAGTTACCCCATTTTACGGTTGTTGATGGTTGAAATGGTGACGTCATGCATTTGCGAGTCAAAAATCAAAATACTGCCAAAACACTAGGTCTTGGCCATCTAGTGGGAAAATATTGAGATCCAAAGAGAGACAGTGCATGCCACGTGGTGAGATCATCAAAAAATGTGTCAAATTTGACAGTTGACATGGCTCTACCAAATAGTGAATAACTGTTTTTATAGGAAGAATATTATGGTTTGAGACTTTTAAATACGTCTGTGAATATATTAGGAATCCTTTAAGTATACTTGTATTTGCTGATTTCAAGTCGTAAATAAATTAATAGATGATTAAGTTGAGATGTTGGATTTAGACACATGAAAACTAATTCTGACACAACTTGAATTGGACACACACAGATCGTTCAAAGCTTTGTACAAAAATTGAAATTTGCTTAATTAAAAGCCTAATAGCTGTTAATTAAAACGTAATTAAGTAGTGTTCAATATTCGTTAGTGTTCTAATTCAAAGCCGTGTTGTATCCCAATACAGCTCACACAGCAAACGGAATTCGAACACATGGATGTCGGCAATACGTATCAGTTAAATTTGAAGCACTGACACAATACGACTCACCACGTGTCGGATGTTGCCACACAAAGTGACGGAATATAGGGATTTGTTAGGTTTCCATTCTAAAGGCTTTTTAATAAATATGGCAACATTTTGTGACGTTTCATCGTTGCTGACGCGTAGGTAGTGAAGTGTTTTGAGAGTCATGTGAAGGCAACAGAACTTACGTAACGCATACGGTTTTTTTATAGTTTATCATTTCTCGATGCGTCCTTAAAGTGTTGGAATATACCGCGTTTACCCTATATGGTATTTTTCTACAGTTTTTTTTCAGCTGTATAATTTTCATTTAGATCAGACTCAGAGAGAAAAAAAAATTTGTGCACATACCTACATTAGGCATAAGGCATTAGATCAAGCATGCCGCATGGAAAACATCTACCTTTAGGCGCATAGTGGCAAAGCAGAAAGTTTTTTAGACTTTTCCTCAAGTTCATTTTTGAGTCCTATAAGTAGGCTAGACCAGTAAAGTATCTTGGATACCAGAGTTATCATACATAAGAAATCTGTTAAAATCTGGGGTAAATGAGGAAATTAAAAATGAACCGATTCTAAAAAAATCTCTGGTTTGGCCACTATGCAGTTTAGGGCCGCGATTAGAGGTTTCCAGCCATTTCCGAAACGGCAAAAGTTTTGCCAGATGAATTACCTCCTATCTAATTGTTAACAAAAGTGCACAAATTCAGGCTGCAAGATTCCAATTGTATTACAAATTTGAAAGATTTCAGAAACAAGTAGGAAAATTCCAATCCTGAACTGTCGAGGGCCAGGCTAGACAGCTGTACTTACTTCCTCCCAATAGCATTAGCGGATGAACACTGAAAACCGGAGAACTACAACTTCTGCAAGTCTACTATGTATACAAAGTTGATTCGACGATGCAGCTATTCATCAGTTCATTCTATTATAGAAACTTCTATTCTTCTATCCGATACTTCTTTTCTATACTCTGTAAGTCTGTGCTAGAAATAAATAAGCGATGAGTTATTTCTGAGAACTGGTACGGAGGGAAGAGTAATGAAGGGGCTTGATGAATCTGGTAGGCCTAGATGACTTCATTCAATGACAATCTCAAATCAACAAAACTGCAGCACGCAAAAACTAGACAGAAAAACGGGTGACTTGATCAAACCAGGTTCAATTTGACCAGGGATCTAATACATGTCTCCCTATATTGCCAGAATTCCCTCGGGAAGAATGGACCTCAAATGTGCTACATCAACATGAAGAAGAATGAGATTAAATCCAATGCAGTTGCCCGGTTCTCAACTCTATCTGCCGACTCCTCATAAATCCTAGGGACGCCCATGGTCGGGCACGCCCAAGTGAGCAGGGTTAGTCAAGGTGCCATGCTTGCGCTATGGGCGCCGAAGGTACTTGATGTTCATGAATAAGGAAGAGCTAATTCATTGCATAATGAATTTCCCATTGGCCTCCAGTCCCGTCGAGAGGAAAAGGAGCTAGGTAGTGGGTCAGGTTGCTGGACGATGCCATATTAAGGTACCGTAGAAACAGTAGATTGTGGGACACTTTGCAGTGTTGGCGATACGAGTCCTGACGAAGCAACCCAGCTGATCAAATGCAGTCCTGGAATGGGAATTGTCCTCAAAGTCCGACGTTCAAACGGGTGGTAGTGGAATGAATTATACTCGTATAATGACACGACAGAATGGATGTGGATACTGGTAAGTAGATTGTCAGACCTTAAGTATTGCATTGGACCATAAATGAATAATAAACTCAGTACGATTGTAGACCACAAACAACGCGTTCGAAGATAATCTATGCGGACTTTTGGGTAGATATAAGTTGACGTGTGAGATCGGTGCGCCCGATACTGGCAAAGGATGGAGGTGGCGTTTCTAGGTGAATAATCCGAAAGTAAACTCGTCAGGGTTTCGGTAAGAGACCACGTGCACACCGACCTTACCTAACTTGATTGCCTTCTGAGCCGCTCTTTCTCGCCGGTTTGAGTATCAGTCACAGCAAATATCGTAATATTTTCCTACGTAGATCGCTGTGAAGTTAGGTCGACACCTCATCTCTGACGAGAACGTTCATGAGCGATGGCGCTTAGAATCATTCTATACTAAGCGGCTTGTGGCGAGTATGACATCTAAGTCACTATTATGCAAAGCATTCGGCTTGTCAGGAATACCCGACTCATTTCCTGCTGGCGTTGTTTCATCAAGTATGCGTCAAGTTTCTCAAAGTCCATCGCTACGCCTAGCATCCAACAGTCAATCAAGCGATTACTCGAAATTACCCGTGTAACCATGAATTAACCAAGAATTTAGCGTTCGCGACGCAATTGGTTAGTGACATGTGGAGGCATCTTGTAGTAAGGAAAAATATCAAGTTGTCATGATGCGAGATAGTTTCAACAAGCAAATCGCTGAGCCTAAAGGTGACAGATTAACCCTACATCCAAATTTTGAAAGAAACCCACAGTGACGTCAAGCAACTAAAAAGTACTCGCCGTTAATGATAAGCGCCTTGCGACATCTCAGGAAAATGAACCAACATACGACCTCACGTTTGTATTTTCAATCAAAAATGATATAATCTGCATAGAAATGAATTCATGTTTTAAATAACGAAATCCTTACTTCTATTGGAATTATTGTAGAAAGTTTCCGCTACCTAACCATGTACATATAAATCTAGCTAAGTACGATTTAGAAGCACTTCCTGTGGACAATTGAGGGGCCAGACTCGTCATATTCTTGTTTGCTGATCCACATCTGCTGGAAGGTAGAGAGGGAGGCAAGGATGGAGCCACCGATCCATACGGAGTATTTGCGTTCAGGGGGAGCAATGATCTTGATTTACGGTTAGCCTTGGGGTTAAGAGGAGCCTCAGTCAAGAGGACTGGGTGTTCCTCGGGGGCAACACGGAGCTCATTGTAGAAAGTGTGATGCCAGATCTTCTCCATATCATCCCAGTTGGTGACGATACCGTGCTCGATGGGGTACTTGAGGGTGAGGATACCTCGCTTGCTCTGAGCCTCGTCGCCCACGTACGAGTCTTTCTGGCCCATACCCACCATCACACCCTGCAATTTCGAAGTTGTCATTAGTATAATCCATACAAAAAGTATATGTGATCTATGTGTAGGCGACAAATTTCACGCTTGACATTGGAGGCTGAAGAACACATTAGCTTCACTTCTTTTGTAAGGAATTGTCTCGTTGCTTAGAAGGAAGGAGCGAAAATATATCCAAGTATTATTCAACAGGTAATAGCTTACGACAGTTATGCTAGCCGCGGATCGATCAAGTCAAGTTTTCGCACGTTTTAGAGTGCATGTACATACCTGATGACGGGGACGACCGACGATGGAGGGGAAGACAGCTCGAGGAGCGTCGTCACCGGCGAAGCCAGCCTTGCACATGCCGGAGCCATTGTCGACGACGAGGGCAGCAACTTCTTCGTCACACATTTTGAGTGGTGGTTTTTACTGCAATAAAAATAGTCTGGTTAAGTAACGAAGCCACCCTGAGACGTCCTGCAACGTAATGTAGGTTCATCAAATCGGGGAGTAACGAAAGAGACGGGACATTATGTAAAACTTTTAATCAAAACCATTTCAGTCCAGAAAAAAAGTCTAATAACTAATCGTACCAAGTAGCTGAACTATCCCCCATCAACAGTCTAATTTTGTACTAGAAAATATAAACTTCAACCGAGTGAAAGATACTAGCGAGATGAGTTTTACACAAGCTACGGATATTATACCACTCAAGAGTCGGCACAATGCATTCAGAATTTTTTCATCACTATATAGCGCAAGTGATGACTTAATCAGTATCCACTAACTGTAGTTCAAAATGAACTGTCCGGACTTTCAGTCCACGTGACCTGACAGATGTTCAAGGTCAATGCCTCCCATAAGTTGAGACGGCAATTTTATTACAGATAACGAACAGCAGGATCAACGACCTATCTTGATCTTATAAAAAAATTAACAATAACTTTGAAACGCTTGTTATATAATTGAACGCTGTTAATCTTAATTTTGACCAGACACTAGAAACTACATCAAGCAAGCAGTGAAATAATAGTTGAACACAGGTCATATGAACGATTTTCCATAATCTAGGTATAACCAATTTAAAATTGCAAAGCCTACTGGGCTCTGGCATTCTAGTGTTGGATATAATTCGACCGGCTTCAATATCAACTATAGTTGAAAGCGAAAACGTTTAATTACGAATAGGATGACGCATTTGACGCGAGTCTACGATTGAACACGAAATAGTAGTTCGCGTCTTCGCCGCCTGCAAGTCTGACTGTCTGAGCTATTAATGATCTTTCTTACGCTTTCTATTCAATCAATATTTATACGGATTAATGATCTTTCTTACGCTTTCTATTCAATCAATATTTATACGGCTAGTTTGTTGCACGACTCCACAGTTGATCATGAGAAAGAAAATTAATATAAGGAACTCTAAGCAGAGACAACTGCTAGGCTAACTCATCACTGACACAGAAGATCCTAAGCATTTTTCATGGTAAGCTAACACATTTGCAACGTACTTTTATGCACAGGCACAAGACGATCTCCAGCAATGACTTGCTACTATGGAAGGTAACCCTCAACTGACTATCACTAGCATTGAGCATCTAATAAATAGTGAAGAACTTGGTGACGTCATGCCGGGGAAGGCGTTGAGTGGGGGAGTCAGCGACCAGCGCGAGGGCGAGGGGGGGACAACCCCTCCCGCAGACACGCCCACCAACCGTCACCTTGGACGGTTAGGACTCGAGATACCGAACAAACGTACTGGCTTCACTATTCGAAAAGCTGTGCCGTCGTAAAGGCATATAGGATATTATCTGATTGTACAAATTGTTTTAGGCCTATGCACGTTATGCGGTACACATCCTGCATTCAAACCAATTCATTTAGGGTAAATAAGATGGTTTCTTAGCTGCATTGCGATCACGCAATTTGGATTCTGTAACAATCTAGGTATAGGTATGCCTACCTATGGCATGGTGAAATCTCCCCATTAGGTACTACAGACTACAGTTAAGTCGACGAGAAAACGCTCTTAAGTTCATCGGATGTTTATTAGCCTAAACTCTAAAGCCACGCAGAACGTTTAAATACTTACTCGTATAAAACCATTTAAAGGGAAGGCTTACAACCTATAGGCACATCGGCGCTTCGCCCCTAGAATCAGTATAGAAATGTTCCTGAATAGCATACCTAGCTATCTCAAATGTGATGAATCTATTCTCATGCCATGGGATATATACACGACTATACTTAGTTACAGTGAACAAATAAGTTATAAGAACGTACAAAAATATTATGCTTTTACAAAAATTATCGCTAATCCTTACTTTGTAAAGAGGAGACGGTAGAATTTTCGACTTGGCGGCGAACTCAGGAGCGTACGAGCGAACCTCACACCACGACGTCTGGACGTAAAGTGAAGGAAGGTGAATGGTCCAATGGACTTTGACGTGCCGTGGGGGAAGAACTCTTTCACTTCCAGTCTTTATTATTAATTTTGAAATAAAACGGAAAATAAATATAATGCTGATTCACATTCTCATTTTCAGTCACCTATTCAAATTATTATCAGTTTTATATGGAATATATAGAGAGATTGGGCGATGAATTTTCCAGAATGTGTTTTCCCCCTTATGCCGCAATGGACTAACCCTCTTGGAGCTGCCTCAGTGTATGACCATATTTGGTAATGCCGTGTTTCTCGCGCGCTCATTGGCTGACTGCTAACGCTGGTGACCATATTGCAAACGTTGGGCAAATTCCAAGTAAAATGATTTATATGAGCTATGAGATAATACTTTCTTTATTTTAAATATCAACGACGAGTATTCTAATGAAAACCTTATATTTTTTAGTACCATATGCATAAGTACTGCGAAAATCCCTTAGAATTATTCCATACAGTAGATTTTCATCCACTTTGCTTATACTAAATTGAACAATAAATTGAACGATTTCTTCATAATCCTAAACAGTTTTAGTTCAAAGAAATACATATATTCCGCACTGTTTCTCTATTTTATAACTGATGCTGCAGAGAAAACATTAAGGTTTTTCCCTACACAATAGCAGGACGGAGCATCACGCGGCGTCTGTTGCTCTCGCCAGGCTGCGCAGGAACGTGGCGGCTGGGCTAAACTCTATTGCAGGGTCAGGTATAATAAACTCTTACTTTGTTTGTAATTACTGACTATATATGATATAAATTAATACAGACCTGCTGCAGGTCTGTACAGCACTGAGTACAGACCTGCAGCACTGAGTACAGACCTGCAGCACTGAGTACAGACCTGCATGCTGCTGCATACAACCTAAATTGTTCCATACGTAAATTATGCTATTTTATTAAATTGAGCCTCAAACATGCAGTTGGAAAATACTTTCCTTTCCGTTTTTAATTTCCGATATAGAATAGTTGTAAAAGTTATATAAATATTTACCCAACATGCAGTAACTGGTCGATCATAAAGCTAGAGTAATGAATTCTTGCCATAAACCTGAGGTAAGAACCGTAATGCAAGTTAATTAGTTGGTTAGTAAAATAATTAGTCGAATCTATTTACATTAAAATACATTGATCAGCTTCGCAATCGAGAAGTTCGTACGAAAGTTTTATATGTTCGCGCCAATATATTATTATATATTATTCGTGTCAGTTCAATCTGTATGAATTATTGGAATAAAAATGCAGCCGTCGTGCGGGATTGCCATGTCGTGCAGGCTTGAGGCAGTCGAGCTGTCGTACGTCGTAAGATAAGATAAAGATTATCGCGCGGCAGGACGAGGCCGGTCATCTAACACCGCATTCTTCCCAAGCAAAATCATCACTCACAGCGTGAATAATATCAAACAGAATAAAAACATTAGTATAGCATTGTACCTTATAAAAAAATTATGGTCTATTGTTCTAGTCGTCGTTTTCCAATTATAATTATTGTGAAGAAGATAATGTGAAGATAATGTGAATACCTAATTATAATACTTAATTAAGATAATGTGAAGACTTAATTATGGCTGAAACTAACTTAAAATCACAAGTTGTCAAGTTGTATTATTTGAATGGGCCATTTCACTCCAGCCTCTAATAATAATTATTGGCCTCTGATGAACACAGTATTTTTGATGTTCTCAGTTACACGTGAAGTTGAACCTTAAGAAAAATGCAGAAATTTCATGCACGGACTCTGAAGACCAACTTCAAACTATATCGTGTGGCAACTCTAGGAAGGCTAGTAAAACATCTCTTAACTAGACATATTGTTGCAAGCAATGTGTAGTCTGAGCTGTTGCAAGCAATGTGTAGTCTGAGCTGTAACAAGCAATGTGTAGTCTGAGCTGTTGCAAGCAATGTTTAGACAGCTGAGGAACGCCGCTGTACTGCCGTCAGCGTTCGTTCTCTGCGTCGGCAGCAGCCGGCGTCTGTGTGACGGTGATTGGACGTCTGTCAGAGACCACCACTGCCGTGCATCCAATGGACTATCATGATCCCTCCCTCAATAACGTAGCCTATAACACTTTTTGACTTGGATTTGTCAAAAATGGATTTGTTTACATTCAGTGAACTTCGATGGCGGGAATCGATGCCTTCGATGGTATCGACTATCGAATGCTGTCTGTAGGTATTGAGTCGGTATTGCTCCTTGTTGGCCCAAAAAAGCCGTTCTAAAATAGTTGTGAACTCTCTTTAATAAACAGCGTGAGTTGAAGAAGAAATCTGTGTACGGAGCTAAAAATTATGGTTGCTAGAGATATAAAGTACCGACTAGAAGGAATGAATGAATTTTTGAAAATGAATGAAAAAAATTGTGAAAATTTTTGAAAAAAATGAATTGAATTTTTGTTCCAATAACACTGTTTAGCACGATCACATATTTTGATCGCGCAAATGTTGCACGATCAAGTGGTGGAGCCATCACAAGTAGAGCCATCATTCTATGCGTGTATAATCCGCGCTGTCGGATTATTGACAAAATTCTATCACAAGTCAAGGTGTTGCTACTTGCTAGTAAATCAATAGTTTCCTCTCGCTTCAGCAGACACTAAACTTGTGCGGAACTTCACTTACGACATCTCCGAGCAGGCGTACAGTTACGTTACTTATCTTCCCGCGCAAATGTTTTGATAATACCACCTCTAGAGTTACGTCATCCAATCAGCACTTACGCCACTCGCAAGTCGATTTTGCGTACTTACGAAGTTTTGATAATCCGGCCCCTGGTAAAAGTGTGTTGTGTATTGGTGGTTTCAAATGCACTTTTATTGTATAATAATGGGTGAGATTTTATTTGTTAGTGTTTGTACCATTGCTATTGAATTTTCTGAAACTTTTTCACAATTTCATTAGAGAAAAGTTTGGTCGTGATAAATCTAGGCTATTAATTAATCTGAAGTAAGCACGAATTTGATTTTTTTTAATTTCAATTAAGCAGTAATTGTTTGAAATGAATCGTCGAAATTGTAACAACAGCCCTGACAATTTCTGTTACATTTGTGGCAAATTCACCCCAAAAGATCAGAGAAAAAATCTGGGCAGAGATTAACGAAACTTCGCTAAGTTCACGTAACTTTTCGTACTTACGTTCAAAAAGTTACGTATGGCGTAAGTCAGTCAAAATTTGGCATTAACAAAACTGTCTTACGCATGACTCATCTGAAAAGGTATTATCGAAACCATCCAACTAACTGACCTATCAAAGGCTTTGGATTTGCTGTTCCTAGCTCCTGTCGACTCAGTGCGCAGAGCGCGTGGATGGAAGGAGGTTGTGTCGTGTCAGCGGCATCAGCGTAGACTGACTAGGGTGCATATGGAGAAATATGTGTGACGTTATCCAAATAGCAATGCACTTGTTGTGATCATTCATCAAAATTTCTTGCAATCAGGGCAAAAAAATTGCACTATTCCCATTCAAAACTAGAAGACTTTTTAGAGAGACCTAGAATTTAGAAAATTTTATGAGTTGGAGTTGTGACTGTCAGAGAAAAAAAAGAAATATGTGTACGGAGCTAAAAAAAATGGATGGCTTGTCAACCTCCGCATAATTTTGAATAAAAAAGGCATGAAGATATTTTGAATCAAAAGGCATAAAACTCTTGAACATGAATATCAACATTTGCTTGTAAATTGAAACACAAGAGGAAAACAAATTAGCTTCTGGTATAAACTCAATCGAATATTACAAGGTCGCTTTAATCCAAATATGATGGGAGACTATTGTTGGTTGCTACAAAGGGGGGAAGAATCTACTCACCGTCGCAAATCAAGAGGGAAAAAACATTTGTAAAATAAATATAGCAATTAGGTAAGATTTCTTTTAAAACTGTCTTGATTACCATTTTTTGTATATTTTGATTACATAAATAGGATGTTAGAAACGTATAATCCAATATTATTTAATCATGTTCAGTTTACCAAATCATTAAATTATTTTTTGAATATCTCAAAACTATACGTGCTAGAGTACTTCTGTTTGCAGATTTGAAATCAGCGACCTCTATTCCTTTAGAGAAAGGTATTTTGGTTTGAGTTCTGAAAAAAAAATATTTTGCTGCACAGTGAATTGAAGTATTCTCACATTTTGAGATTTTATAATGCCATATGCGCGGAAATAGTTGTCTTTTATGGCGAATTCTTACATGTAATTTTTGAGCAGCATATTTGCGAACAACAACTTCTATTGCCAGTAATTATGCTTTCCCATAGGAAAATTCGCCTCTGCAAGGAAGTGCATTGGCCACGGAATGAAGGAGAAATAGGAATGTAGATGTTCGAAATTAAATACATATTGGTTATAATTAACTATTTAGGTATTAATTGAATGATGAAGGCAAAAACGCTTCAGCGATTAGTAGGCCGTAGGCCTGTCGCCTATTCTTAACATCGCATAACATCACAGCATTTACGGTCTCGAACTCGCAACTCGATCGCTGCTATAACTCTGCTGTGCTTAACCGCCCGGCCTCCTTGCCGATTCTGACCAGAAACTGACTCACAGAGCTGGGATTGAACCCGCGCCTCTCTGCTCCAATCTTGGTACTCTGAACTTGAACCACTATACTATTTTAGGCTGCGGCAATGATTTGGAGCAACGACTGGTTTGCGGTGCGGCAGATGTGCTCACCGTGGGGCGGGAACGCAGCCGTGCACCACCAAATTTGTGCACCAATCAGCCCTGAAAGGAACGGCTAGCATATTTCCGGATGACCACCAATCAGCCGCGTATTAACCCTGCTGCCTGTAACCAGTCTATGACATCATCTTGCTTTAATTAAATAGTATGAGCTTTACGTCACCATATTCTGAAGCGAATAGCCCAGAGATTAATGGTTGTCCACCACTGAACGTTGCATCGAATCATCACTTCATACCCTGACTTTAGCTAGAACTGTAATTAGCGGACAACGGACTGCGACCAACCAGCCCAGCTCGCC